AGGGGAGGTGACCCAGCAGCAGAACATAGCAGAACTCAGAGTGTGAATGTCACACCACAACTACACCACAGGGAGGGGTGAGTCCGGGATAAAGAGGGTTCGAAAAATTACTCAAACTTGTTTTTGATGGGATTTTGCATAATACCCCCTCTTTAAATTACATAAGTCTATTGTAAATGCATCACACTTTTTGAGCACGCCTCCTTGTTATGTGACTGAACCCCTGCTGGTGTTTTTTATAAATACTGTGGTCTGTAAATGGGGGAAATATTAATCCCTGATCTATGGTGCCTTAAATTATAGGCTATTTTCAAAACTGCTTTAATCCATGGCAGATGATGATAAATGTAAGTTTAATGTGAAAAATAAAAATCAAGAGGTGTTTTTTGTGAATAATGCACTTTTCAAGGCAGATGTCAGCTGTAAAACTTGAAAAATTAGTTAACAATGCCAGAGTTCTTCATCTGTGTCAGTTGCGTAGTGCTACTGCATTTATCAAAATGACATGTTTTGTGTTTTAAAAACTGTAATAAACACATTCATTTGGGATGATTGTTTAACACCTGAACTTTGGAGAATCTGTAGTCGGCTGTATAGATGATGCCATAAAAATGCATTTATTCTCCTGTAACATTATAATATCCTTATAATTTTGTGAAACATCTGTTATATTTGATGAATGGTCAATCCTGTGAAAAGGAATTCTCAATAAATACATCATTAATTATTGTGCTTCAACAACAACTGGAGTGTAACCTAAGCTTCATTTCACCTGTTTCACATGTGACACCATCAGAACATCTGCATAATTTACATTTGATATGTGTCTGCAAAGGTTGTATTGTAATGGTTCATTCAAGAGCAAATATGGCAGACACATGTTGGCAGCAGCTCTCTCAGCCTGGTGCTTTTCCTCATTTTTCAAACGTGATATAGTTTCATTTCCAGAACGCGTGAACAGGTTCAAAGGAGGTACATGGAGCCTGTTCTTTACCTGAGAAAAGATATAAACTGATTTTAAACTAACAAATGGGGTATTTGTTACTGAAATAATAAACATTGTCATTGTTCCTCACTGGTGGTCTGGTGCTCTCCCCAAGCACCAGTCATATCTCAGGGTGGAGCCTGCATGTCCTTCCTGCGTTGCCAGGTTCTGTCTGGGTTCAGAGGATTCCTCCCTTTGTCTCATGTCTCTGCCACACTGGACAGAGTTGACACTGTTCAAATAATTCAACAGACATTCTAAGTTGCTTGGAAAAATAATACGTTGATATACATTAAAGGTCTTATATTACACAAACTTGATGAGCTTGCAAGCTTTAAGCCATGTTAGAAAGTTGTTACCTCATCAAAAACATACCTTGAATTGTGTTTTGTTTCATTCACACATATGTGAGTACAACCTTTTATTATTAGTTTGTCTACATCTCCATAACTCAAAATGCTCTGCTCCACCTTGTGATGGCAGAACTGAAGTGTTCATTCTAACAACTACCTTTTGTGATTTTGTTCAGAAAAGTTTGGCAGTTCCAGTGCTGAAGTTCTCCAAATGATTCTAGTGAAAGTGTATGGAGTTTGAAAACACAGTGGAGCACTTCCTGTATTACCACATGACATCACAAGGTGTTTTCTGTTTGAGAGAAGAACTCTGTAATTTGTGTGTTTGGGATGAGGAAACTCATTGTGACATAGATCAGAAAATAGTGTAACATGGGCTCTTTAAAGTCAACCAAAATCTTTCCAAACCACTGTGATGTCTGGACTGCAGGCCACAGAGGAGCAGATACTTTTGTCCTGAGGGCTGTTACTCTCTCAAACCTCCCCGACTTTACACTGACGCAAGATGTGCTGGACCTACCTGATGTTTGACTATCTATCTATCTCAGCTTTACTTTTACTGGAATTTCAGTTCAAACAAAAGAAATACTATAGTGCAAACAACAGAGAAAGAATGACAATTGAGCGTGACCACATCCTACAGGTGAGTAATGACCAGACTAAATGCATTTCATTTCATTTTCTTCATTTTACTTTACCAGTAACAACCCGGAATGTTACTCAACAGCTTGTAGACTGTTGTTCTACTGTTAACATCTTCTATCACCACCACTGTGATGGATCTGAGCAAAATGGTTTGTTTGAACTATTTACCCTGACAGAGGAGACAGGCTGACTGGTAGCACAATAAAAAACAGCCACCATTTATTCAGACATCCCTCTCTGTTTACATATAGGCAACCAGAGGGAATTACCATCAGTACCCACCATTTGAATCACATTTCTTTGTTGTCTGCATTTCGTCAAAGCACAGAATTTCACTGAAACTTATAATCCTTGTACATGCCCCTGACAGTCCAATAAAGTAGTAGCCTTGAGACAGACAGTGACATACTCCCAACTCTTTTATGAAGTGTTTTACAGCCTCATTTGCGATGACACGGACCACGCTTGTGTATTCAGTTCTGTTGTCATTTGGCTTCTGGACAACTGTCCTCATCAAGATATATGTAATAGTTAATTCAAAAGATACAACACGGACATGCATGTACTTTTATATTATTGCATATAAAACGTCTCTCACTAATTTTAACCAGAAGGAATTGTTGGCGCTGGATGTTCTCTGGATTCATTTTAAGAGAAAAACAGCTGGCCGGGTAAAAGTGTGGACTAATTGCATGGCCATTTAATTTTGTTTACCAGTCCAGTATTATATAAGTATTAGTAGATTTTTTTTCTTTTTTTGTTTTTTTTGTTTGTTTGAGAAAATCAAAGTTCCTGCACTGGTCTGTTTTGCTTTAGCCTACCCTAATTGCCACTCTTATTTATTTTAAAATGAATAATATAAAACACAACTAGACTTAAAGGTGCACTGTGCAACTTTTCTGGTCAAGGGTTCGCCTCCCGCTTGTCTCCATGGAGATATTACTGTTTTGTCTTGATTACTCCACAGTATGGAAATAACTTTGAAACTTTGCAATCACAATATAGACAGGTTAACAGTCAGATCTATGGAGAAGCAAGCCTGCACATGGTGATAATTCATGTTTTTAAGGTATTTTTGAGTTATAAAACACCTATAATTGAACAACATCTATTGAAATAACATCTCTAGGGAGACAAGTTAGAACCCTCCACCTTAAATGTTACATAGAGCACCTTTAAGTTATTTTGAATGTATAAAAAGATGGTTTGAGGATTATCCAGTCTCATAAAATGTGTGTTTATGTCTAGGAATCAAATGTATTATTTTGTGTGCTAAATAGTTGCTGTATGATAGTATTGTACTGAGATGTGTCAAAATACTTAGGTGATTTTGTGGGACAGTTGTGGTATTATTTTCGTATTTTACTGTGATGGATATTCACATTGTCTTTGCTTGTCTTTTGCTCTGGTTTTGCCAAGTCACAAAGCTGGAGTCATGAGCCTATCATTAGTCATCACCGACCCCTCAGACTCTGCTAACTGCCTTTGGCTTTGAGCTGCTCCTCAAATCATTACCTTTATAAAACCGACTCTGTAATTTTTGCATTTACTAAAACCGTCTCGGTGATAGAGCAGGACACTGGGGCTCCCATGGGTGTCCAACTTAACTGGTGGACAATATGATTTTAGGTGCACTCCAGTGTATTGGAAAAGTAACTATTTTTGAATGTTGCCTATATATTTCAAAAGTAAAATTTGTCAGATGATAACCATAGAGGAGTAAATGCAAAGGCCAATTAATTTAAAACCATATGAAAACAACAGACAGTGCCGATGCAATGCAGCTCTTTCTCTGTCCTGGTTCAATGTCAGAGTGGCAAAAGGTACAAAGTGGGCAACTCTAACAGTTCAGTTTAAAACCTGTTCTTCACTCATAGTTCAGAATTGGATACCTGCTCTTTAAAATCTTTCTGTGGATACTTGACAGCCATCTTCATATATCTGTACTGTACTGTAAAACATTTCAAGAAAAGCATTGTCCATGGAGACTCCCAGATAGATGGTCCTCCGTTAATAAATCTGCATAGTAAGATCTGCACCTAGAACCATCTCACTTTGTTCAGCCCATCTCATATTTAGTCTCAGAACAGTCTTCCTCTAACCTCCTCACTGACAGAATGACCTGACACTCAACAAAACCAACTCATCTCCTCGCGATCACCATTTACGCTGTAATAATGATGCACAAAATGGGATGTAGTCAGTTATTTTTGGAGCATGAGTTTGAACAAAAACACAATTTAAGAGTTATAATTCAGTGCAAATAAAGTAACTCTATAACAATCGTTAATGTTTGTTTTATGGGATCTGAGCTACATTTCTGGTGCGGGAGACAGTGTGTAAAAACAAACGGCTCCATTCTCAGGATAAATCCTTCAGCACAGAGAGGAGCCCGTGTTTATCCAGTAGTCCTCCTCCAAACACGGCTCAAACAGGAACATGGATCAGCTGCTCTCCGCTGCTGCTGGATAATACTAAAATCAGGACTTCTTATATGTTGTCTACAATACTCTTTTTCAAAAAATATAGACTAGAATATCTTTACAAGGTAGACATGAATCCTAGTCTACACAAAAACATACTTATATTTACATTAGGTGCATTCAGGCCTGTTAATATTGTTTATTTTAGGCCTATTACATGTTAACCAAATGTTGGACGGCAAAGAGCCGTAGGCATTTTATAATAATGAAAAATACATTCATTTCACTTTCATTTAAAATTGAGTATAGCATAATAAACATGATTTTATCCCTGTGACAACATTTAAACAAAAATAATAGACTAAAAATAATAATGGCATGATTATGATGATCAGTGATTTGAAAGAGCCTAACTAAACTAATCTGGTTACGACTGAGAGATTTCACGCGCACAGTAAAGATGGAGGATTGCCTAAGTATCATCTAGATCGTCAATGGGCGGGGCGTGTTGGCCTTTGGCAGCGCGCGCCTCGGATGCAAATATCACCGGGCGTGCGCTCAGCTCCGAGTCAGATGCGCCTCTGCGCGAGGACCCAAAGAGCGCTACTCACACTCAGTCTGCGCCACACAGGATATTTGACCTGAGGTCTGCTGCAATGATTCGCGCCTTTCTGAAGTCACGATGTACAGTAGCGTGTGATGGCAAAGGAGACGTAAAAGATGTGATCGCTCGGATTTTTCTGAAGGGGCAACTTTTCTTTTAAAAACGCTGAACGCTACTCATGCCACACGTGCAGGTGAGTCGATTTCACCATTTGGCAGCGAAATTATTATTTACCAGAAACAGTGCCATCTGCTAGAACGCGCCACATTTGACTATGTTACTTTTGGCCTTTTGTTTGCCTATATGTGCCTATTGGTCTATTTTGAAATAGGCTACATACTTTTTTTTTTTTTTTTTTTTTTTTTGATAATTTGGTCTTTATCTGTTATCATTTAACTTCTGATTTAGAATAGAAAAACTTAGGCTACTAAGAAACTTAAATAGGCCTATTCAAATATCTGAATGGCGCACTCCAGTACATTACATGAGCTAATGAAAATGTAGGCTATAGCCTACAGATAGAAGTAAAAAACACAGAATCATTTTTGTAAAACAGTGCTGACCTGTGTTTCTTCACTGTTTTGTTCTTTTTCAATTTTATGTCCTATAGTTACATAATAGAAATAGGCCTACCTAGATCAGATTTATGCTACTTTACTTAAACTTTAGATTTAACTAAAGAATTATGTTAAAATGGCCAGTATAGATCTGTAAAAGCCATAAGTGGACTGTTCAGTAGCCCATGTTAGTGTAGAAGTAATCAGGCATATATGATGCTCTGTTTAATAACACTGACATTTTTACATACGACGTTGTAAACTAGAGACATTTTTGGTCGACTAAAGCCCTGCTCTGTGCATCAATTAATCGTGAAAAGGGGGCGTGGTTGGAGATGGCAAAAGCTCTCAGATATATGATCTTGGACAAACACTATCCTATGTGTACAGAGGAGTAGTAAACAGCAGTGAAAAGGTAGATTAAACTGTCCAGTCAGCGGTGGGGAGGCACAGATACTGATATTAGATATTGACTCTGATCCAGAAAAATGCATTGGACTGTTCAGATGCTGTCCTGATTACGCATTTAAACTGATGTAGATCGGTCCATTTTGGCATATGTACATTTTGTTTTAAGGAAATTAATTTTGAGTCTGTGCACTGGTACTGGCTGATGTTGACAATTAATGAACTGAATTAATATTTCGCTCATACCAAAGTGCCCAGTGAGTTTGTGAAAGTACTTTCTGACAAGGATGGTCAGAGTCAGTTAGTGAGGTCAGATCTGTGACAGGCCTCAGTTGTGACCTCGATGACTGTCTCTGGACTCGGGGCAGAGGAAGTCTGGGTCTGAGCCTGTGTGAGCCGTGTGCGGTCCTTCCTCAGCCCCTGGTCCTCCTCTCAGACCCAACGAGCTGATAATGAGCCACAGCTTTGGGGATGCTTACATGTATGGGCCCTGTTGAGATCTGCCTTCACATAAAACCAATCAACACCTCATTTACCCCTTGGCATTTCTTCTCCATCACCTCCTAAAGCTGCGCACTTCCCTCCAAGTTTATCACTGTGGCCAGCGCTGGATAACACCACTCACAAATATCCTCACAAACAATGTTAAATACTGGAAATGATACCCTCAAGCGACCTTGTATTTGACAGTAAACTCTGAATACACAAATAAAAAAGGAACGAAATGTCGTATTCTAAAATATGCAATGGGAAATTTACGTATTTTGATTTTCTAAAAGTAGCAGCTGAGGCAAGCCAGAGGGTCAATGGTTCAAATGTTGCTGATACTGTTGTGTTTCTGGGTATGACTCTATCCTCACTGCCTGCCAATGACTATTTGCACAAGAATGTCCTTTATCTTTCACACTCTACGAAAAAAAAAAAAGCTAAAAAAAAGCTTTAAAAAATAAATATATATATATATATTCTATGGTGTATATATATATATATATATATATATGCTCATAAAGAAATTCACTGTGCATAGCAAATATATTTTCTTTATCTTAAAATAGAAGAAGCAGGTGAACAATTTACAAAATGTAAGGGAGTATTAAAGTGTGATTTGATTATTTCCTTTACATCCATTATCACCATGTCTCCTTTACATATACAAAGACGTTTTTTTTTTCTGAATTCCATTTTATGATACAAACACAATTACGCCACTGTTACTTTCCAAAAAGAGGCCAGTTTTCAGTAGAAGTTGTTTATGAGGAGCAGAAAGCCCGGGTCCGCACAGGTTGCATTAGTAACTCTGAGCTCAGAGTTGTGGCACCTTCTCGTGTTCGATAAATTCCCAGTGTGGGAGTTCCCTTTCAGCACATGAATAATTAATAGATCAAACTTAGGACTTACAAAGGGGGCAATTTAATCTGATGACTATTTCATGAGGCCAGCTTAGTTTCACTGAGCTCAGTCCAATGTGGCCAACCGTGCAAAGGGAGACAGTTTAACGAGAGAAGTTTGACACAGCATAGGTACTTCACAAAGTCGAGCGATTTGAAAAGTGCTGTGAGGGTTCAGTTGATAATAAGAATTTCATTTCAAATATTAATTCTTATTACCGGAGTGGACACTTCTGAAAATATTATTTGGGTTTACACAAAAAAATTCAATTTTTCACCAACAAACTACCTGGAGCTGTGTCTTGCTACATTCGCACATGTTATTGTTTACTCCGTCTTCGTCTCCAGAGCTCAGAATGGCTACCTTTTTAATCAAATTTTCAAACAAAAAGAGCACCGTATCCGATATAAAGTAAAACTGAAAAGAACTCAGAAAAAAAAGAAAAGAAAAAGAAAAAATAACAATACATCAACAAATAAGGTGCAATTTCAAAGCTCCAGCTCTAGCTTACTGAAGAAAATCATAGTTGTACAAAAAGGACACAAGAAAACTGCCTCTTTTCTTTCAATAGTCTAAAAAATCTTAAAGCTTGAGGTCATTTTTCTAGTGTGCAATATTTTGTTTTGCAAAATGATATTTATGAATAAAATGTTTATCTAAAACAGTAAAATAGCGTTATTGGCAATGTTATTATCATCCATGGAAACACTTTTTTTTTTTTTTTTTTTTTTTTCTATGGTTAGAGGGGAAAACTGAATCCCCCTAGACTGACACCAAGTCTGAAAATCAAGCGTAAACTGCTGTTCAAAATGACACGGAAAGAATGGTTGAGTCCTTTATGTCTCATAAGCCATTCTCCATTTAACTTCTTTGTCTTTTAGTGGTCATCTTCATCAAACTTTTGATTATTTCTGTTCACATAGTGGCTCTATTAGTCCGGATCGGAGGCGTAACGATACCAGACTTTACTTTCACCTGTCAGCAGATACAGGTCTAGCACCATCTGCTGGGAACTTTTGTAACTACATGCAATGATCTAATGGAACACTTTCATGGCTCTAAGTCACACTAAAAGAATTGAAAAGATTATGGTGTATCAAAATACTAACATTTTCAAACTTGATTTTCAACATTAAATCATGTACTTTCTTCTATATTACCACATGGCCTTATATCTGTGCCATCTCTCCATCGTCCAGGTGGGTTCCATGGCCTTATACTAGTTTATGTTTAGGTCAAGCTCTCATACTTGTTCTGATACAGCTCAAGATTCTAAAACTATTTAGGAAAGGTTAACTTCTGTCAGTGCATGTTACTTTAATAACATTTAGGATTGATACCTGCTGAAGTGAGTATCCATTTTCAATACTAGTTTGAGTATCATTTACTATCTGATTTTCAGTACTTTTGACAACCGTAGCAAATTAGTATAAACCTACCAAACAGACATAATACTCTGGACAATTTACTTTGCTATACACTGCCAAAAATCATTCAGAACACACAATTTCCCAATGTTGTATCGAATTTGTCCATCTGTGGTCTTTGGTTAGGCACTATTCATAAGAAGCAGACCACTAGTGATCTCAAATATAGCTCCACTTTAAAACCAGGACTGGGGCAATTGCTCAAACCATCAAACCAAGTATGAAACGCATTCTTTGTTCAAATGACAAAAACCACTTGAGCTGCATGACTCACACTGACCACAAATCGTCCTGGGCATTGCTTTGTTTTTTACTTAACCTCTTCTTTGTATTTTAGTGTAAACCTTTCATTTAAAGGTGCATTGTGTAACTTTTCTGGTAAAGGGTCCGTCACCTGCATGTTTCTATGGTGATGTTATTGCTTTGTCTGAAATGTTCCACAGTATGATATTAAACAGTTCTACCTTACATTTATTCAATGACAGGTGATTTTATAGCTCAAAAATACCTAGAAAGACAGGCATTGTGACAGCTCTGACCTGTATCTGCTCTGTTTGATCTTCATGAAGATAGAAAGGTTTAACACCATACTGTGAAACATTCCAGAAAAAAGCAATAACATCTCCATGGAGGAAAGAAGTACAAACGTGTCTTTCTGCATAAAATTATTCATAATTTTTAGCATCTTGATTCTACGATTTATCCAAGTCTCAAGATTTGTTTCAAAAGAATTGTTCTTCTGAGAGCTTTGTGATTTACATCTTGACGTGACGTTAGATGCTATGCCAGATGCCCTTCCTCATCCAACCATTTCAGTTCAGTTTTGTGGCTGGAACAAGAGCAGATTTCGCGTATCTGATGCAATCATTTGGCACTATAACTAGATCTAAATCTTGACACACTGAAATCACCAATGTTATTACAGCATAAAAAAACAGACTATGGGTATAAATTTAAATGTTTTATTTTCACGATCTTTTCTAAAGGCACGTTAGACTTTTTTATTTCTATTTCGCTCACCAGAGATTAGTGTGGTCACGATACTAAAATTATTCCCGTTTGAATTCAGCTTTTTCAGTTTCGACACCGATTCCAATACTATAGCTATTTGCCGATACCCAATATGAACCAATACGAGTGCAGAGACTGAAAGCAGCATTCATTTCCTTTAAACAAAAATCAAATAAGACTAAAGTGACATATATTGGAGCTGTTATCTATCCCTCAACGAACAAAAATTTTGTATAAATAAAAGTTAAATTTGACACTTTCTGGGCTGACTATATGACCAGGAAATAGTCTTATTACATACATTTTTAGGCCCAACAAGAATTGACTAAATCTATATTTAGAAACCAATATCTGATCCAGCAAATTTTTCAGTATCCCCGCTGACATCCCTAAACTCGATTATACTAAGGAAAAGATTTGACACTCTATGCCAATTCCACACTGATAATAATAAATTAAAAACACTCTTTATTTAGACAATAGCGTGTCATTTTTAACAGATCGTAGTACTTTCTTTTATGTTATCATGTGGCCTTATATCTGTGTAATCCCTCAGTCATATAAGTGGGTTCCATAGTGGTCCATGAGTGTATATAAGATCTTATACTGATTTCTGATTGTAATGTAATATTGTTTTTTCTTTTGTTTTGTTTTTTCCCATTGTCTTTATTACATTGGACAAAAAAGAGTTCAAAGTTAAGCGCCGGCTATTCTTCAGAAGCTGTAGTTCCCAAAAGCTCTGACGACTACCATGACGGCAAACTTTTAAATAAACTTAATCAAAACTGATGAAGCCAAAATCGTGAACTGAAACGGATCATTTCTTTACTATAAATAATGTCAAAATCTCTTCTTATCGTGTACTCGTGGACCGGACAGAATAAATAAAAGTTAAATTGATGAATATGGACAGTATTCACTCTTAGTATTTTGGTTTATATTTTCTTTATTTTTAGATTGTTTCCAGCCTGAAGTCATCTTTACTGGCAAGTTGGCCGGTCACGATAACAAATTTTGAAGCTCAATATATAACTACAGATATGTACTGCAATAAAAGATAAAACTGAAACTACTGAGCAAAAACAATAAAGTGAAATCCTAGTAGAAATAGACAATAAAAAGGCACGAGCAACAACAAATTAATACCAGAATGAAGCAATAATTAGCCATAGAATTTACTTTTTCAAACCTCTACAGCTCAAATCTTTTCATGTTATTAAAAAAAAAAATCATCACAATTGTATGATAAATACTGAGCCCCAAAATATATTGTTCCAGCTTTCAGTCGATATAGTATTTATCATGACAAGTACTATTATTATCTACAGCTTTTCAGTATTTTGTTCTATTTATTATTTATTTATTTATTTTATTGTTTTCAGCCTGAAGTAATCTTTATTGGAATGGACAGTGTCACTACAATTACTATATTGACTTATCGTTCAGTATATGAAAGCATATTTGGGGGTCAGTATTTACCATGTGTACATTTTCTTTGCACTACTGGGAAGTTTGTTAATATATTTTGCCTATATGATAAGATTTAAGCCGTTAAAGGTTATATTAATCACATTTATCATCATACTCATTACAGATGCAAACTAAGTACTAAAGTACAATTAGGCCTGTCACAATAACAAATGTTGAATCATAATACTGAAACAGAAACATAAAGCAGTATTATCTCCCAAAAGTATTTTAAATGTAGCTTACAATATTGTTAAAAAACATTATCTTAAGCATTTAATTTGTGATTCAGAGGAGTCATAGAAGTTTATAATTCAATCCTATACAGCTGAAATATCATCGCAGTACAGAAAATAACCAAAAATGTCCCAATAGTACAAAGAAAAAGTACCCATGATAAATACTGAGCCCCAGAAAATATTGTTCCATCTAACATATGTTGAAAGATAAATTGATATAGTATATATTTTTTGTGATAGCCCCTAGTTTCATTCTGCTATTTATTTATTGCAGCTCATGATTCTTTTACAATATTGTAGAATAGTTTTTGTTGATTTAAATCTTCAGAAAAACAAATTTAGTTGTTTTGACAACTTACTCTGAAAGTTCAGCGATTCATTTCAAATAGAAATTCTTATAACTGGAGTCGACACTTCTAAACATATGATTTGGGTTTACACATAAAAATTTCATCTTTCTCAGACACAAACTTCCTGGAGTTGTGTCTTGCGTCAGTTGATCATTTGTTTACTCCGTCTTTGTCTCCAGAGCTCAAAATGGCTACCTGACTGCTTTTTTTTATTGCAAAGTTTCCAACACAAGAAACAGGGAGCATCGTACACGATATAAAAATTAAAAAATAAAACTGTATCAACAAATAAGAGGCAATTTCATAGCTCCCATACAAAAAAGACACAAAAAACCCACCTCTTTTCTTACAGTTAGTCTCAAAGATTTGATTATGATTCTTTAAAAATACTATAGATTTTGGAACGATTTGTGGTTTAAATCTGCTCTTCGATTTTTGTGTCTGTAGCAAAAATTGTTTGCAATATTATTTATTTACTTTAGCAATATATCACAGTTCAAATTTTGATGCATTATTGTGACAGGCTTACCAGGAATCAACATGGAGTCTGATATATGTGCTTATACAGCTTCGAGGCCCCTGCACTATCTTACTCCACAGCTTCTCAGTATTCTCCCTCATATGCAGTCAGAGGGAGCAGATAGTGTGGGGCCGTGGTGGGCTGTTGGCATTGCTGGTCTGGTGGGAGTGCTATATTGTGAAAGAGATCCTGGCTCAGAGTATGGACCAGACTGGGCTGCACTCATCGCTGTTTTCACCCACAAGCAGGTGCGGAGAGTGACTGCTCCACTCCGCTCCGCTGGCTCTGTCTTGTAAATATGGCCGAGGCTCCAAGGTGCCACTGACATCTTCTCTCATTACGTGTTAAAAGTAAATAAACTCACTGTTCGGCGCTAGGTTCAGCTCCCCCCGACCAGATCAGCCTTCTTCAGCTGGACTTTTTAAAAAGCGACGAAGGAGTTGGGGTTTAAAACGCAAAGATGAAGATGATGCAGTGATCTGTTACACATTTTTGTTTAATTTACAACTATAAATTTACCACACTGTTTAATTTGGTGATGGCATTTATTTGAATTATTATGATTTAGGTGAAACTGAATAACAATGTCGAAAGTGTAAAATAATAAGAGAAAGTTTATCTTGGCCGTGTATTGGACAAATCTGGTGAATTAGTTTTGTCTTTCATACCAGTAGCAAATGTATTCACTATTAAATACTTTTGTCCCGTTGATAGAATTTACTTTTTTTTTTTTTTACTCCTGACTTTTTGTACATTTTAAACAGTTACTCAATTGATAATTTTAAGTTAAAGGTGCATTGAGTTAGCCAGGCTGGCGCCACCTAGTGCCTCCGCTCCTCTCCAGCGACTAGGTCAAAAATCGGAACACACTAGATACTTCGCAAAAACCCCAGAAGTGCGAGTTTGGGCATCAGCCAATCAGTGAAGAGCCATACATTCTGTGTTGGCAACGGTTGCCGAGATTGAGGATTTAAAGCTGGAACAAAGAGAATGTTTGGTGAATTTTATCAAGGAGAAAGACATTATTGCCCTTCTTTCTATGGGATTTGGGAAAAGCTTAATATATCAGTTAGCCCCGTTAGCGGTGCATTACATACGTCACGACCAAATAGCAGCGATTGGTTACATGAAAAAAGTACCGACCTACCGTCGAGTGAATGAATCCTAATGCTGCAAGGTCAGACGGTTTCTACAAATTGAAACCGGCTGATGAATCAGGCTTGCATTGCACAACTTTTCTGGTGGCACTTGCTTCTCTCCATGGAGATGTTGCCTAGAATGTTCCACAGTACAGCACTACACAAATTTATCTCTACGGAGACAGCAGGTGACGCTATAGGGCCAAGTTACGTGTCAGATCTGTGGAGAGGTGAGCCCATTCATAGTAAGATTGCAAAATTTTAGGTCAATAAAAATCCACGTTATTGAGTAAATGCAAGATGGGTACGTTTAAAGCCATACGGGACCCGCCACCAGAAAAGTTGCATCATGCACCTTTAACTTTTTATGTTATTCATTAACCAGTACGAAAAGACACTGCTTTACAGCCCCGATTTTACAGCCGAGATTTTAAAATAGTGGCATGAATGAATTACATATTAAACCAAAGCATTTTGACTTTATGCACTGTCATTATGAACCTCCCCATGAGCTCAAACAAACTCTCTACAGATAACCCTCTCTCTCTCCCTCTCTCCCTCTCCCTCCCCTTCTCTCTCCCTCTCTCCCTCCACAGCCTCAGCTCTCCTCCACTCGCTCTAGTGCCAAGGTTCAGTGTGCCTCGGGGCTTGTTTGGACATGTAACCAGCGCTACATCCCGCTGACAGCACAGACACAGATCCGGGCTGACAGAGGAGAGGAGTAGCCCCAGTGAAGCACAGCCCTGTCAGCTGAACGCCCGGTGGTGAGGGGGGCCGGGGGGCACCAGGGACTATGCAGCTTGGACTGGTGGCGCTGGCGATGGTCTTCTTCAGCTCCATGGGTCACAGCTCTCCAGACGTGCTCTCCAGGGTCAGACGCCAGAGAAGAGGTGAGTTTTGCACATACGCATCCACTCGCATTACACGGAAGACACAAGATTAGCTGAGATATTTATTCGAATTAATTTTACCATTCATATTTTCTTCTTTGTTATTAGATTACATTGTGATGTGTGAGCTACTGTGTCCATTATGATTTCCCTTGTGGCTCAATAAAGTTATAATATCATGAATAATAAAGTTATACTATCATAATACAGTATCATGTCTCTCTGTACAATTGTGATTGCATTGTGTTGTGATTTCTCCAGCGTCATACTGTATTTCAGATGGCATCCCAGTAGGTCACAAATATTTAACAGAGATGGGGAGCTAAAATGAATATTGTTAAAATTTTTGTTGTGATAAATTTTGTTAGTTTAGTTTAGTTTATTGTATGACTGATTCAGCAGTCAAATTCATTTTTTTTTTTTTTTTTTTTCTTTTACAATGGTAATGTTTTTAATATTATGGAAATGTGTATTTCTCTTGTCTGTGGCTCAATTTTTCTTTCCAGCCTTTCCTCGTCATCTTTTATCATCATATAAATTTATATTACTATTATTATCATTGTCATGTGTTAGTATTATATTATTTTCCATACTAAATACATCTTTCTTACCCTTCATTATGAGGATGACACAATATTTTATAAGCTCATACCAATATTTGAAATTATTTTTAGTTTTAATAGTGTTTTTGTGATGTGGCTGATGCAGTATTTGCCGATATTATCTGATATGTCAAGGCTCCAAATTAGTGTAGCGAAGTTGAAGTTTGTAATTTTTTTTTTTTTTTTCTTGCAGTGTGGTGTGATAAAAATCATGATCTCACCATGTTGACAAACATGGGCACTTTTTCCCACCCATTTCTCCTATTGGTCAGTCAGACAGATGGATCTAACCAATCACAGTGAAGTGTGAACTTTAGAAGAAGCGGATGATTAAACGTTTTTTCTTATGGGCAATACAAATATATGAAGTGTGCATGAATTGTGATCAAATCCAAATTGTTATCTGACCCAAAGAACACTGTGATATATATATTTGTACCATATCACCGGCCCCTACTTTTTAAAATGAATGTATAAATATTGCGCTTCTTTTTTTCTTCTTAACGTGCTGATAACAGTAATAACGGAACTGTAAAAAGTTTCTCTGTTTGATTTTGGCCAAATTGGCAAACTTCTGTCTTTTTATATAGATACTATTCCATTCTAGTCTGACTTTATTGACTTTATTGATCCATCCATAAGGGAAATTATTTGGACACAGTAATTCACACATCACAATATATTATAATAACAAAAAAGAAACTATATATTATAATAACAAAACTGTATATTTAGTTAAGTTGTGTACAGTGTGTATTGATGTGAAGTTGCCAGTTGGATAATTCTGACATATATGTTCATTATACATTGTTTGATAGATATTGTCCCTTTGACTAAATAAGTAAATTGCTACCAGCTATTTATTCTAACATGTTTTGGAACATCTGTTTTTTATTCAAGTAATGCCCCTTCAAATAAAGACTAAAACAAATGTATGCTCATATTCAAATGGTCATAATTAGGACGGTGAAATTACACAAGGTACAGGACAGGTCTCATCCTCTGTCCGTTTGTTCAGGACTTATATGGACCTGGGCTTCTTTACACAGGGATTGTGATGGATTCTCCCTCAAATCCAGTGCTGACACTTGTAGACTTTGAGTTGGGCTGCATTTCCAGTCTTATTGGGAGCATATTTGGACCTGGTGCCGTTTTCTCTGCTTCTGCTGTTAGTGTTAGCTTTGAAATAATTCTTCCTTTACACACAAGCAGCTTTCAGTCAATGCCAAGCTCAGCCCCAGAGATTTGGATTTGTACAATACAATACAAGACTGGGCCCAGCAGCACAACACATGTGCAAGTGAACTGATCTGAGGAACTGTGCTCAGAAAAAGCTATTCTCACATATCAGTCCAACAGATGGCTAAAGATATGGCCGTGCATGATTCAGTGTATATAAAGATATACTGTGTTATTCTGCTTAAAGGTGCACTGTGTAACTTTTCATTTGGGGGTTCATCACCTTCTTGTTTCTATGGATATATCATTGTTTGGCTTAGAATGTTCCACACTATGACATTAAACATATCTACCTTACATTTATTCAATTACAGTTGGTTTTGTAGCTCAAAAATATCTAGAAAAACAAGCATTCTGACTGGAAGCGGGGTTGTCCCTCCACAGATATGACCTGTAACTTGGTCTGGTTTGGTCTAAGATAGAAAGGTTTAATGCCATGCTGTGAAACATTCCAATCAAAGCAATAACATCTCATTTGACAGATGCTATATATCCGTAGAAACAAGCAGGTGACAGACCCCCAACCAAAAAATTGCATAGCGCACCTTTAACGAAAACAAAACACAGAAATAAAACTAAAAACGAAAATGTGCTTTAAATGGAGCCTTCACTTCACTTTAATATTTAGACTCAAAATACTGACTGTTCAAAATACCAGTTGTGAGTGGCTGTAATCTGGTACAATTATTTGGTGCTACTCAGATTTTGTATTCTAAATTCGTTTATTTAATTCATTCATAAAATATAAAAAGGCATCCACAGTGTCATAAATTTAAACATACAAATAATGAATGAAAAAGGAGCAGAAAGAAGTGAAGTCTTATATTTTCTGCCCATTTTCCAGACAATACTAGTACATAAACACTGATAGTTTCTTAAAAACATTTCAGTACAGTTGCTTTCCTAAAATCAAACGAATATGTTGGAAATATCATACCATTCAGGCTACAGCTGCGCAGAACAAAAACACCACCTTTGCAGCTGGTCAAATCAGGTATTTTATTCTATTTTATTGGGTCCATAAAAGCAGACTGTTGTTTTGATTTCATCTGATAGTACGATCCATTTACTTCTCCAGTTTTACGACTTTTGATCCTGTGTTGTGTTGTGTCTGCATTTGGCTGTTTAATTATGTGGTTTTCTCACAATAAAATTCAACTAAGTATCTCCAGCGAGGCCTTTCTGGTAAACAGAGTGATTTCCCCCACAACAGACATGGTTGTGGTTAAATTAAGCCCTGGTTTTATAATGGCACCAGCACCTCAGCAGCACCTCCTGATTTTGTTTTTCATTTTCTAGAATGTGATGATATCATATTTCCAGATGGGTGGCAAGAGACAAGAGAGATTTTTCCCTATTGATTACATTGCACTTTACTGTCATATAATATAATATCTAAAGGGTATGTTGAACCTGATCATTTCTATTATTGATTGAACCCAAGAATTCACTGTATTATAACAATAATATTATATATTTATATTAAAAGGCTCATGCTGTGCTAGTTTCTGATCTATGTTATAACATTGTTTCCTCATGACAAATATACCAAGGGTTGTGTTAAGTTTCATTCACACATGTTTAACACAAAACTCTGCATATTTAGGCTGATGTTATGAGGTAATACAGGAAGTGCTCCAGCTCTACTCTGTTTTTAAACTCCATACTCCTTCACTAGAATCATTTGGATAATTTTAGCCCTGAAATTGACCATCTGTACTGAACTAAAGACATAAAGACATGACTTCACAAGGTGGAACAGAGCATTTTGATCTTTGAAGATGTAAACAGACTAATAATAAAGGACATATGTTTTTTTTTTTTTTAGTTTATTTGGGCTTTGTTTACATTTAGTTAATATTACATGCACACATAGAAATATATATAACCGAAAAAGGAGTCTGCTGAAGCAACAGTCGTGGAATGAAGTACAAGTAGTAACATACTGTACTTAAGCATACATTTTAGGTAGATTTTACAGTGGATACTTTTACTTGAGTAATGTTTTAGCTTTATATCTGTACTTTTACACAAAATTGAATACATCCACCCAGGCCCGTCAACAAAAATTTGGAGGCCCGGACAAGAAGCCTCACCTCAGACCTCCTTCTAATATTAATTAATAAGCAGAGGGTCCAATACTGGGCCCCTAAGACTATGGGGTCCGGGACAACAGATCCGTTTGCCCCCTCATCAGATCTCCCGCATCCACCACTGATTAGCACTTACACATAGAGAAGTCATGTTATTCTGTTGTGTATTTGTGTATGTGCAGTCAGTACGGAGGGGCCCCCGTCTTGTCCCAAAGGCTGTGATCGCTGCTCCGAGTACAACGGCTGTATCAAGTGTAACCCAAAGCTCTTCATCTTTCTGGAGAGGAATGACATCAGGCAGATTGGGGTGTGCCTGGCCTCCTGTCCGGCCGGATACTTCGGCATGAGGAACCCCGAGGGCAACAACAGATGCACGCGTGAGTCCCATTCAAGATTTCGTATTTATTTATTTTTTATTTTTTTGAGATGAGAAATTTATCAATTTTCTTAATTTATTGTTTTCATCTTCAAGTGATTAACATGTCAGGATGGTAAACTCTTTTAATTTCATCTATGAGCCTACCCCCTTTCACTTGCCATGTTAAATTGCTTTGAACATAACACATACACACACATTCGCACACAAAGACACAAGACAAGCAAAATAAACAACAAATAAAATAAAATGAAAACAACAACAACAACAACATGAAGACAAATATTTTTACTGGATATGGAAAATGGAAAAGTAGTGGGGCTAAGGGTTAGAGCCTGAAGATGAGAGGTTTTATCTCAGCTTTGGCCACTGCATACTGTTGTTATTGGGCAAGACACTACACCTGCCTTGCCTGTCTATAAATCAGAATTTAGTTTTAGTCTTAACTTGCTATATTCATAGTTGCAGTTTGACCATAATTCAGTGGGTTACCCCAAAGGTTAGGGGTTTGAATCCCACTCTAAATATCATTGGTTGGCGGTGCGATTCCAGCTCCCACAGATGAATGCTGTCATTGTGTCCTTGAGCAAGACACTTGGGCACCCACTCGCCCCAGTGTCTGCGTACACTGGTGGATGAATTTGTATGTGAATGGCTGAGTGGTTCCATGATGTAAAGCGCTTTGAGTGCCTTGAAGTTGGAAAAGCACGACCACCATGATATTTTAATAATATTATCTATGACAAATTGCAATGCATTACCTTATGTGACATGCTGGTGGCACATGAAATATGACCTAGATGAAAAACTATGACAAAAATATGTTTGTCGACGAAATTAACACTGGTATAAATGTGGTGTGTGGGTGAGTGATTGTTGACGGCTGCAGATGCCAGACGTTATGTGAAAATGCAATTCTATTTGGGATTATTTGCTTTAATAGATGGAAAACCACTTATTGCTTCCATGACTTTCTCAGGAAACTCTTTCAGTAATGTGGTCCTCTTGTGGTACTTGTGTGGTGGTTTGAAATGGCACGAGTCTCACACTTGGAGCCAATAAGGATTACCAAGTTCTGTTTCCTCTTGTGTTCAAAGCGCAAACAGGATCAGTGCTAAACCCCAACCCAAACAGCTCTAATACTGCTGGTTTGTTTTGGAGAAACCGCCTGCTCAATCATCACACGTAGTGCCAGCTCCTTGTCATGGCATTGTTTGTTTTTGCTTACAGTCTCGCATTGTATCCAATCGAGTGTGCAATGGGGAATTCTGGTTAAATATGATCATGTGAGTGGGCACGTATTTCCAAATATTTATCAAAATTCGAATCACCACGACGATTTAGAGTAGAAATATATCCATAGACTTGATGAAAGACGGATGCTTCAAAGCTATAGCGACTAACTTGTATTACTCAATCGATTTCTCAAAGTCTAGTTAGTGTCATTTGTCTTTCTTTATGGCCTCACTGCTGTCATATATAGCTGTCAGAGCTCTAATATAGTTATTGTGTTGAGCAGGGGAGAAAGTGGAGCTCCCAGGCAGCTCTTAGATCACTCCTGGCCTCACTCTGAAGACAGCTGCGCGGTGCCATTATTCAGTAAACAAGAATGAGATGAATATAGATGTGAAAAACGCCTTAAAGGTCGTCTGTTTTGGTCCAGATGTAAAAAATGATGGATCTGGGATGGAGCGTGGGAGCCTGCTTTTTATCTTCCACTAAGTCATAATTATGTGAAAGTGAAGAAAGGTGCTTGTTTGACTGTGGAGTGAGTGCGAGGGGTAGGGAGAGCTGCTCGGACAGTGCTGAAGTCTATAAGCTCCCATAATAGGTGTTTTGATCAGTGGGGTTTATGATTATTAAAGTGTATTGATTCTTTGACAGTGATTACAAAGTTTTAATGTGACGGCAAGAACACAATATTTCATGCTGGATCAAATACATCTTGAAATGCTTTACAAAACACTTGCCCAATGTGTCAGCAGTCATTAAGATACTCATCACCAGTGAAGTATTGCCAGTAAACTGTGACTAACACTGACATAATGCGTACAGTACGAGCCTTTATCCTCACATGTAAAGTAGTGACCAGTTCCCTCTCGTGCTTTGACACTGTGATATGATTCTGGCTGCACTGAATGAACCCAGGGCTGCAGTGCATGTGTTTAAAGGGAGGGCGAGTGTTTCATTTCTAATAAATCTGTGAGGACATAAAACTCATGTTGTCCCTGGAGACCCATTAGGATTTTTAAAATAGAAGCAAAGAGAGGAGCAGAATTAATGACCATGACTCATGGCTTGATTTAATTCTTTACTTGTGTCTCCCTGTGTCTTGCAGAGTGTAAAGTAGACAATTGTGAAACATGCTTCAATCGCAATTTTTGCACAAAATGTAAGGAGGGCTTGTATTCACACAGTGGGCGGTGCTACGTGAGCTGCCCCCCAGGCCAGCAGCCAGCCAACGACACCATGGAGTGCACTGGTGAGTGACACACACACTGTAGCACAACACTTCAGCCTTTTACTTTGGAGCTGGAGTTTACACAAAGTTACTGTTTCTTTAAACTTTTCAGCGATTCGATTATTAGCCCAATTGTCATACATTATTGCAGATCTCTGTAGACTCGATCAAAGGCTTGTATTACAGTGTTTAAAAAATAAAATGTCTGTTTTTGGCCTGAGTGATTATTAGTTCCAAATGTGGCATATGTGGTCCTCCTTTTACAGGGGCTTTTATGCAGTGAGCCCATTCAAAGACTCAACATAGATACCATGTTTCATAAAGTCATTAGTCGAGCTCTAGTGTAAATCATTGCGACATCGACAATGGACAGATGACATACATGTGTAAACCTACTTCTTCGCTTGTATTGTGTTACAACAACATAAGGCAGAGCTGTGTTCTGTGTTTCAGATCCTCGTGTTGCAAACTGTGAGCTGTCAGAGTGGAGTGAGTGGAGCACCTGCGCAAAGAAAAACAAAACCTGTGGCTTTAAAAAGGGCTCCCAGAGCAGGCTCCGAGTGCCACTGAGCCTGGCCCCCAGCACTGGCCCCTCGCCCATCCCCTCTCCTGTCTGCACACCGCTCACTGAGAAGAGGAAGTGTGAGGTCGTCAAGACGCCCTGTGTCAAAGGTAAATGCTAAACCTGCCCTATCATCTACCTGTTTTAAAGATGCACTGCACAACTTTTCTGGTGGAGGGTGTGTCACCTGCTTGTCTCCAGGGTGATGTTATTGCTGAGTTTTAGATGACATCACCACATTTTATAGGGCAATAATATGTAATACAGATGGGGGGGCAGCAAAAATGAATATTATTGCAGATTTCTGTTGTAATACCGTGAGCTCTTGAGTCAAACAAAGTAAAAATCAATGGGGGAATCTGGCTCTTACCCCCCGTCTGGGAGTATGACATCATCACATCCTAGAATCTGCCTAGAATGTTCCTTGCTATGACATTAAACACATTAATCTAGCATTTATTAGTTATGGGTGTTTCTATTGCTCAAAAATACAATAATTCTCTCTGTGAATAGGGTCATCTGTCCACAGATCTGACCTGTAATGTAGCCTGTAGTTGTCTCCCTTGAAACAGACAGGTTTGAGGTCTATTGTGGAACATTCTAGACAAAGCAATAACATTTCCATGGAGAAAAGCATTTGACGGACCCTCCGCCAGAAAAGTTGTGCAATGCACCTTTAAATGTATTAGTTAAAATATCAAAGAAGTACAGATGAAAAACTGTAGACGGTAAAGCATGGAGCGCAGCAGAACTCCACAACAATACATCTGTCATTATAATTGTAACAGGATATTTCTTCTTGATGCTTGGCGTGGAGGATGAGTTAAATTAATTAACACCATGAGAGATTAATAAAATATAAGATGATTGAATCCAGCAAAATTTCTACTGACATTTTTAAATTTGAAAATATATCATTTCTATTCAGTTGTATCTATATTGCTATTTCTATTCATTGTGTAATGAGGTTGTGATTGGCAAGTAAATGAGCTGTAATCTGTGTGCTCAGTGTAAAACAATATGTTAACAGTATATTTTTGCAGTCAGTATGCATCATGTATACATTTTCTTTGCACTGCATGGAAATGTGTGGTTATTTTTTGGCTATAAGATCAGATTTAAGCCATACAACAATAATAACTTTTAATGTTGTAGAGTTAGAATAGTTTTTGTGGTTTAAAGGTACTTTGTGTAACTTTTCTGGATAGGTAAGCCCTCTGACAGTCAGAATGCCTGTTTTCCTAGGTTGTTTGACCTATAAAACGACCTGTAATTTAATAAATGTAGGACAGAGCTGTTTAATGTCACACTGTGGAACATTTCAGGCAGAGCAATGACATAACCATAGAAACAAGCCAGTGGCAGACCCCCAACCAAAATGTTACATAGTGCACCTCTAAATCTGCTCTTGGGTTTTTGTGTCAGTGGCATAAATTGGTTTTACTATTATCGTTCATCATCTATATTTACTTCAGCAATAAATCGAACTTCAACAAATATTTGTTATCGTGACAGGCCTACATGTGACCTACAGTGTGTGGGTGGGTCTGGGTGCGCTTGTGAGGGCCCCTGCAGTCTGAGGTGTAGAGGGACATGTGTGCACTGCAAAACGTAAAATCTAGCTACATAAAAATGACTTGATTTCAGTTTTGTTTTTGTTTTTTTAATTCATCTTTATTGAGGACACAGAAAGCACATGTGGTCCATAGTCATTTTCACATTACAAGTATAATATCTACCAGTGGAACAAGATTTTTGTACTTGAAAAAGGAAATTACATCTTGTTACACTTAAGATAAGAAATACAACAAATATTTGCACTCAGAATAAGAAACAAACTGTGTGACTCATTCCATTGGTTTCATTTTACTTGTCAAGTTGAATCCACTCAAATCTAGTAAAATGTTAAATAAAGGTGCACTGTGTAACTTTTCTGGTGTAGAGTCAGCCAGAAGCTTTTCTCCAATGAGTTGTTATCCCTTTGTCTGGCTGTTTCACAATATGGCAATAAACCTTCCCTTTCTATCTTCATGGAGATCAAATGAGACCATGTTACAGGTCAGATCTGTGGAGATGTAACCTTGCTCACAGTCAGAATGCCTGTTTGTCTCTCAGCTATAAAACCACCTATAATTTAATAAATATAAGCTGTTAAATGTCATACTGTGGAACATTCCAGGCAGAGAAATGACGTATCCATAGAAACAAGAAGGTGACGGACCCCCAACCAAAAAGTTACACTGTGCACCTTTTTTCAGGGTGGACCGTATCTTCCAGACAGCCAGTATTCTGCTGCAGGTTTAGTTATTATCTTTTGGCTCCAGTTTGTTGGCATTCTTGGCCTTGTGCATTTCTATGACAAATAAACTCTGGACAAATGGTTCTGTTTTTATTACATGAGCAGTGCCACATGAAGAGGAATATCCATTACCATTTATAATCAGAAATAAATATACACATAAAATCAGACTGGTATTTTTAAAATATATATTGCTAAAGAGTCTATATTATGCAAAACTGACTCGTGTAAGCTTTGAGCCATGTTAGGATATTGTTACCTTCTTAAAAACATACCTGGAGTTGTGTTTTGTTTCATTCACACTTGTTTGAGTAATCCTGAATTATTGCGCAGTCTACATATCTAAAACTCAAAACACTCTGTTCCACTTTGTGATGTCATGTCGCGGTAGTTTTCAAGTTATCTTTTGTTCAGAGACTAGCAATCCTTGGTCTGAAATCATCCAAAGGATTCTAGTGAAGGTGTATGGAGTTGAGGACTTCCCGTGTTACCACATGACATCACAAGGTAGAGCAGCGTGTTTTCTGTTTGAGAGAAGAACTCAGCGTAAATATGCAGGTTTGTGTTTAACACGTGTGAATGAAACAAAACACAACTGCAGGTATAACATAGCATAATATGGGCTCTTTAAACACAAGAATTATATTTTACTGAAAACATTTGTATCATGTAAAGATTGTGAACTGTATGGATGTCATTTTTTCAATAGTTAGAAATCTAGAAATTACATACTGGAGTGTTGTTGAGCAAGGATCCCGAACTAATGGAAATTGTTATCCGTCTTATAAATTGTAGTTTATTTTTGTTTTATAGTCCAATGCTGTCGAATCACAGTTTTTACTATGAACGTATAAAATCAATTAACCAAATAAACAGAAAAAATTAGGGGTAAGACGTTAAAAAATATATAAGGGATTGTACTCATTTTGCGCTGTTGCTCCTGGCTCTGCCCCTTTCAACTGGTCCCTGAAACTAAATCTTGTGACTGTACCGGCCCTTTGGAGAAAAAAACTTTGGGGATCACCGTTGTAGAGGAGAAGCTAATCTTACTGTACCCTCCAAGTCCTTGTTTGTGGGTGAGTAGCTGGTCCTCTCCAGGTTGCTTTCTGGCTCTAATAGACTTGTTTTTTTACAAAGCGACCAACAATGTTTCCACTGCAGGGTATTCAGCTGGAGCTCTGGTTTATGGTCATTATAGGTCCAGTTAAAGTAGCATGAACTATATCAGTGTTGGATTCCTTCTGAATGTTGACAAGATGTTCAGGGTTTTTATTGGAGGACACAGTAGAGGGATGTAGAGAGAAAAGTGCAGTATCAGAATTATTACACTGAACATACTAGTATTAGAGATTGACAGGCGTTTGTGTATGCGAGTTTTCTACTTACATAACTGACGATGCAGTAGGCCTGTGCAATCGGTCTGTCTCATTGAATCATTCTGTCAATAGTCAGCTTGGGGCTTTTTAATATAACAACCCTGTCAGTAAAAACATGTGGTTTGTAGCACTGAATAAAATCTGTCTTGTATGTGTTCTTGGCATTAACAGTGAAAAGTATGTATGCATTTTTAGTAGGAAAATTCTCAATTGAGTAAAAAAGTGGGATTGAATCACTTTTTTGCCATATTGCCCTACCTTATTAGGGTTGTCAAAAGTACTGAAAATCAGGTACTACTAATTAGATACTCATTTGAGCAGGCATCAATACAAAAAAAAGTCACATTCGCAGGACAGAAATTAACCTGAATCTTAAATAGCTTTATGATGTTGAGCTGTATCAGAAGAAGTATAAGACCACATAGACCTGGACAACTAAGGGATTAGAGATATAAAACCATATGGTGATATAAAAGAAAGTAAAATTTTTCATGTTGAAAATAGCATTAACATAAGTAACAAAAAAACAAGGTGGAAAATGGTATAAATCAGTCAATAAAGTCATGTTTAATTAACAAGAATGTAAAGGGTAAATTAACAAAACATGCTAAAATATCTACATAAAATAACCTAAACTAAGAAACAAAACAGGATTACATATAACGACTTTTGTGCCAAAAACGAGTCATGTAGGCTTGTACAAAAAACGAGTGACTAAACTAAGGGACACACAACAAATCTAAATCACAAGTGTCCCAAAGTAAAAGCACATAAACCCACAAACAGAATCGAGTGACAAAACAAAAGGCACCAAACAGAATCATACTAAACTAATTGAGTGTCTCAACACGTCAGACACGTACTAGTACAAACAAAGTGACTGACACAAAAGAGATAGACACACAAAATGGCAGAATGGCCACAAAGACCAGCGCCCAAACAGCTGCTGGCAATCTCCTTAAACATGGGGAGGTGGCTGCAGGTGAGGCAGGATTGGCCCGGTGTAGAAGTGCCTCACCAATCAGGGACCAGGGCTCTCACGGCTGGAATCAGGACTGCCTGCAAAAGAAATGAAAACACACAAAACAAGTCAGAGAACTGGAGGTCTGGGGCCATAACAACAGTCCTTATATAGCAACTTAACTTTGCCTTAGAACATACACTGTATAAGTAAGCGGACTAAGGCAGTGTGACGTCATCCATAACGTTCGGCTCCAGTCAAATGAAGCTCATAAGGCTAGCATCCCCCTTTTAGGGACGAATTTGGAGCCAGGTCCATATTAGGAGTAGCAACATATATAAGGACAAAACTGTGAAATAAAAGCACCAGGACCATGTAGAGCAGGTTAATAGAGACATTTTAAGACCAAAATTACAAGACTCACAGCAGCAGTTACAGAGAGAGGGGTGACAATGATCAACAGACCCAGAAGCACCCCCATGAACACTTCCTATTTGGAATGAGGCGGCTAGCGGGTCAGCTATACAATCTATGCTTAGAACTAGGGATAGGACAAGATCTCATGCCACAAGATCTCCAGAGACAAATTGCCACAAGATCTCGTGAGGTTTTTTTTGCATGTTTTTTTCCATGAGATAAGTACTGGCGAGTTACATTTTTGAGACGCTTTAGGCCCAAAAAGCAGTCCCACAATGACAGCAGAAATATTAAATAAACTAAATAAAAAATGTGAGCAAAATTACGAACTGGATCGCACAGTTAATTTATTATAAATAATGTCAAAAACTCATCTTGTCTCATTCTTGTAGATCCAGTCTTGTGTCTTCTTGTGGAAATTGTAGCTCATCCCAACCCTACTTAAAACTTATGCGAATACACCAGCAGGTTGTGACAATCTGTGAACTGAAATGTACATTGCCCTGTCCAGTGCAAACACCCTGGCTCAGAATTTAAAAGTAAAATCACATGCTACATATTATAAACCAGCATATAAATCAAAGCTGTGTGGACTTCACCAATGTCCAGAAAGTGAGTGTCGTCTGAGAAGAGATGAGTCATACTAGTGTTTTAAATATATATAAGTACAGAAGATATAAGAAGATATGCCTCTCCTCTCCTCCATAATGGATGCAGGCATATACACATAGCTGCCAAAAACACACAGGAATCCATTTTGCCTGGTGTCATGTGTGATGTTAGAATGTGTCTGCAGTGTGCACAGCTGTGAATTCACATGTGGGAGTTGGCTGGCAGGCTGGCTATGTAAAACACAGGGGGCAGACCTTGTATAACATTAGTGATTTAGTAGTCTGAGGATCTCACGCTTTGTGTTGATTTGGCCGCACATTTTTTCCTCTCCCCTTTTTCCTGAAGCTCCACAAAGGGTCTCACGCGAAAACAGTCTTTTCTGGACCTGTGAGTGCGTTTGTCAAGCAGATATTGTTTAGTTTGGACGGGGTAGAGGTTCAATCAGGGTTGTCATAAACTGAGGTATCCCTGTTCTGGCCTTCATTAGCAATCTCCTCTGCTCTAATTAATGCTCCTTCACTAAACAGTGGCTAGAAAGTTTCACTTACTCATTCAAACCAAACACAATGAAGCTAATATATTATTTTTAAGAGCACCGGTGTTTATTTTAACTCTTATCATTTGAACAAACATTTTATGGGCCACCTGTTTGTCTACATAGAAATGTTATTGCTTTTCCATGTCTCACCGTGTGCCGTAAAAACTTGTCACTTTAAAAATGCATTGAAAAACTGCATTCTAACTGTGAGCAAGCTGTTTATGTCACCTGCTTGTCTCCATGGAGATAAATAAGTTGAATGCTATATACTGGAACTTTCTTGGCAACGTCTCCATGGTGATGATCTGCACCTTTAATCATATCTTTTTAATTAATCATAAATACCTCTTATTGTCTTTTTGTCCATATCTGACCTTCACCTTGGCTTAGTGGTGCATGTACCTGTTTGTCACTAACAAGATAGATATGTTTAATGCCACACTATGGAATATTTTTGGCAAGCTAAAACATCTCTAGACAGGCAGGTAGAAAAATCACACAAAGTCACACTTTAGATGCAACAGAGCATATGGAGAATAGCATGAGCAATAACTCATGGTTTAGCTTAAAAATGATATATTTATTTACCAAAGGTTGAGTATTATGTTTTTATGCCATACCCAACCACCAGTGGTGGAAGAAGTACTTAATTTTGCTAATAGAGCAAAACTCTCTCAAGTAAAAGTATCACATGAAAAACATCTACTGAAGTAAAAGTATTTAAGTACCTGTTTAAACATGTACTAAAAGATTAAAAAGTATTTCACGCAGAGTTTGAGATCTAATGAAGCTTCAGATGCAGTGATTTTGATAGATTTGTGCTGAATTTTGTTCAACAAAACAATTGAATCAATCTTTTATTTTATTTTATTTTATTCTAGCTTTTTTATTTATATATTTTTGTTTGCTCAACTTACGAGCATGCTAAAAATAAACTAAATATGAAAAAAAGTGAAAAATATTTTCAGTCTCAAAGTCTCAAACAATAGTCTCAAGCAATAATAAAAAAAATACTTTTAGTTCTCAGTCCTGTTCAAAAATTTTATAGAGTAGAAAGTACAGATACCCGCTTTCAAATACAACAAAGTAAAATTAAAAACTCCTATCCTAAACTGTCCACTTTGAAATCTACTACAGATACCTAAAATGTATACTTAAGTACAGTACTTCATTACTTTTGCTTCACTGTCTTGCACCACTGCCAACAACACAAGTCCTCTGTTAAGTCATTTCCACTTTTTAGTCCTCAGATCTTCTCTCCATGCTATTATACTATATAAGCCTTAAGTAGCTCTCTGTCCTTGGTCTGATGCTGCATGTACCATCACATACGGCGTGAATATTTCATGTGGTTGCTGCGTTTTAGCATTAGCAGATGGAGCAGGAATGTGATGCAATGAACTTAATCTTCATATTTCTTCTTTTCTTTGTGCTTAGCCCTGTAGCCACATGCAAACGATTCTTTATGCATGTGCAGATTGTCTGAAATGTCAGTGTGCATTATGTCTCCACGGTTACGGTTGAGGAGGACAACACCCTATTACTAATAATGAGTTTACTAACGAATTGTCAAATGGCTGTAGGTTGTAATTTGTTCATGTTTAGGCACTACTGTGTGGGTCTTAGGATCACTGTTTACTTGTGAACAAAACAGTTGTGGTGTACCTTGGCGTAAGCTAAATAAATGTTTCTCCATTGGCTCTGCGCGGTTGGACAAGGATGAGTTCTGTTCATCATCACATAATGATTTTCACCGCCTCAGCCTTCGTTCTCAGTGAGGATTCAGCACATTTTCTTTGTTATTTTGCTGAAAAACCGAAGAATCTTGAGTGTTTGTAGACTGGACCGCGGGGATAAACAGGGCTCTGGGCCCCGCTGCTCCACAGTAGACGTGATGGTGGCGCCATAGACTCTGCAGTTGTCGTCTGTGATGGGAACACTGTCCAGCGCTTGGCCCCCGCGCACTCTTTTTCCTGGATCCAAACTCCGCTTCATAACAAACATCATCTACTGTTTCATATCCTCCTCTAAACACAATAGTCTTTAAACAGCAGACACCTGACAGGACAAAGGTCAGTGTAGATGTTATAACAAGCCACCATTAAGGAGTGTGAGCCTATTCTGGGATGTGAAGTGTGGGTGGTGATAGTGATATAAAATTTATATCTCTTGATTGTTATCACAAACATACCTACATAGTATATATACATCATTTCACCTTTTGATGGATTAGATATTTTATAGACAAAAAATCTAAATTATAATTTGAAGAAATCTGAGCTTTTTAAAAGTATATCAAAAGTTTGCTGATCTAATTATTTGTATAATTGTAGTACCTAACTTGAAGTCATTGACCATTTAAAGACAAGCAGATTATCCACCATTCACTAGAACCATGCAAAAGCATAACTGTTCTGGGGCTTCCCCTGTCCTTAGACCCGCCTTCTCAACATGGAAATGCTCCAGAACTGATTCAAATTGATTGATTGTAAATACTGCCTTTCTTTGAAGTGCACAACTGTTTTGTTTTTGGTGAAAGACACACAAAAACATGTTGCTCAAGTGACAATAAGCATTAGAAGCAATAACTGCTGATGGTGTAACAATGACAGAGTTTGCGTACATGGCCCACACTGGGACTTTAGAGACAATCACATTCTTGTAAACATTCTTGTAAACCTCTAATCCTATAGTCACACAATTGTTATTGGACCATAACTAAGCATTTTATTAAACACAAAAACATAATGCATGCTGTTTATGTTTTGTTGTTTCCAGACAGAAAGAACAAAGGGGCCAGAACTAACCCTAACCGGAGGGAACGAGAGGGCACCCGTGGGAGAGGCCGAGGAGGCGGAGGCAAGAGGAGGAAAGGACACGTCAGGACAACCACCTCTCCAAGCCTCACCACCAGCTCCGTCACCTAAGCCCCGCCCCCTCTGCTGCTGACCGCTGGGCTTTAGACTTTCCCCAGCACACAGCGCCTCCTCCCCACACACACTCTCTGACTGACAGCTGTCGTGTCACGGACCACTGACTTCATGCTGCTATGTGTTATTGAAGATGCTCTACAGTGATACACAATGGAGTATTATGTGATACTTGGAACAGACTGGTGACTCCGGAGACATGCTGATCCTCGTTTATTGTGAACCAAAACTCAATCTGATCAAACTGAGGGCTCTCCGCTGGTCTGGAGGATTTGGTTCCAGTATGGTTCTCATTTGATTTTTTTTTTTTTTTTGAAAGAGATGGAAAATGGATTTGCTCAAACCGCTGTCCATGATATAACGCAGTCTATAAGACTCTACTATGTCTTTATATCTATGCGGACTATAGGAGAAGAAGAAGAGAAAGGCACTGGAAAATATTTGTGATTGTATATTGACAGATGGTCTATTATAAATATCTATATGTGAAGGGGCAAATATGTAAAATCTATAGGAGAAGCAAAGAAGTGTGGATCCTCCTCATCTTATGTCTTTGCCTACAGTTTGATGTACATTTTCATCAGATATTTGCATGGCACTTATGGATTCAGTGTGTGTGACCGCTGTTTCATTTTTTAAGAGTAATATGAAGGGTTTATACAAAACACAGACATACGTATTCATTAGTTACTTTAAAGTATACAGAGATAGTATACAAAGATTTGATTACTGCGAAATGTAGCCTAATTTCAAGGCCATTGTCAAACATTAAATGAAAGTAACATGTATTGGAGTCCATTCTAATCTTATGTGGAGCCAAACTGCAGAGGCACCTGTTAGGGACACCCAGACTTACCCCTCCCCAGACACTTCCCAGAGCTTTTACACGGTAATCTTTAGTCAGTGACACAGTCACTGCTACTTTCCCACAATATTGATCCCAAAATATTGAATATTGGCGAATTGGAGAAGCTATGTGATGAACAACTGGTGGAATGGCATAATAATGGTATTTGTCAGGTATGCCATAATAGAGATCTTACAATAATCACAGTGAAACAGATGGATAAAATAGACAGTATTTCATTATAATGATTAAAGTGGATGGAAATCAGATCAATGGAATCTAACATCTCCTTTGTAACCATGTCTTAGCCCTAATGCATGTGTCTGTGTTGTTCTCCAGAAGTCTGGGTGTTGCTTCACTTTTGAAATCATGAAGCTGAAGTTTGGGTGGAGCCTGCAGATGTACATGTGTGTTTACATTTGCACATAAGGTTTAATACAGGCCTGGTGGACAGAGAGGGCCTGGGGCTCTATAATGCACATTTATTTATCACAGATTTTTCTGAAGCCTTCCACTCATCAGCTGCTCTGTATTCATGTTTCCAACAGGCTCAGAACAAACCAGGCAAATGTGCACTTTAGACAAATGTTCTGTTTGCTATGTTTCCATGGGTGTTGCACTCCATTTACTAGTATTATACAGTACAATGCAATAACATTATCTTTGGGTCAATTACACATTTCATTACTTGCTAAAATTACAACTTGTGATGCTGAATATGTGGCACAGTGTTACTCAAATGAAGTATTAGTACTATCAACATGTACAGCTTATTCTGTAGACACCTAAATAAAGTTGGGATATTGTTTATAAAACTACAAATGTTGTGCTACTTTTTATTTTTTGACTGTCATATCATACACCTCAATTTCAAATCCACACATCTCAAGTGTTCAAGGCAGTTTAGACAAATCAGAAATCAGAAGAAATCAGGAAAGGTTTTATTGCGATTGTCAGTGAACATGAACATAAACAATGAACAAAAGCAAGTATTGTAAAATAGCAAAAAATCTAAATAAAGTTACAAAAAATATGGTAAATAAATATAGACTTTGATACACAAATATAAAATACACAGTACAAAACAGCACAAAACTATCAGTGCAAGAAAATAATTTATAGTTGCAATTTTAGAGTGTTCTGTTCTGAGGCAAGGGGAGGGGCTCAAATAGTCCACATCCTGGGCATAGACTGTGTAAATTGACAATAGCTAGCCTCTGTGTTCCAAAAAGGGAGTGTTTCCGGGTGCTCCCAGGTTCTGGCTTGACTTTACACTGAAAAATTGTCACCCCTCTTTCTGTAGCTGCTGCACTGAACCTCATCATCTACATGATCCTGGTGTTTTTATCCATAAATAAATTCCTATTCCTAATGTGGAGCTGGCTCCAAATTCATCCCTATAACCGCTAGCCTCATGAGCTTCATTTGACCAGAGCCGAACTTTATAGGTGATGTCACACTCTCTTAGTCCACTTCTTTAGAGAGTCTGTGGTCCAGGGTGAGGGCGGTTGTCATCCCACCTGTTGGAGACATGGTGATGAAGGTGGTGAGGATGGACTCAGTGATGGCTGGTTGGTTTTCCTCAGCTGTCGCAAGAACAATATCCTCCATGGGTCTTCTTGATGAGTGAGCTGATGGTGGGCTTGAGATCCTGGGTGATGGTGGAGCAGAGGAAGAGGAAGGAGTCCACAGTAGAGATGGAGGTGTCAGTAAGGGCGAGTGGAGACGGGGGGTCAACAATCTGGACCTGAGAATCGAGGTCCAGATTGTTGCCACTGCACCAGATCATGTCTACCTCTTTAAAAAGGCCATATGCTATTTTCTGATCTATGTTGCAATGTTGAGTCTTCATCACAAACATACTTGGTGTTGTTCAGACATGTTTAACACACAAACTCTAAAGCTGAGTTCTTCTCTCAAATGGAAATACGCTATTCCACCTTGTGATGTCATGTAGAAGTACAAAAAGTTCCCCATTGTGCTTTTAAACTCCAGTCACCTTAACTGGAATCATCTGGATAATTTCATTCCTGGAACTGCAAAGCTGTTAAATTGAAAACTACCACTTCATGACATCACAAGGTGGTGACTCAAACATGTGTGAATGAAACAAAACACAAGTCCACCAGTGTATGTTTTCGAGGAGGTAACAGCATTATAGCATGGCTTAAAGCTCACAACAGTCAATTTAACATAATATAGGACCTTAAAAGTTTATTGTAAACACTGTCCACTATTAAATGATGGTGTTGCTGAGGTCATAGGACATAGTTTTCTCCTCTCCTGTATCTCCTTTTAAAAATGTAAACCTGCTTTTGCCAGACAGGAGATAGGCTGAGGTCTATATATGAAGTATATATGGGCCTATAAACACATTGAATTACACTGTGGAGAGAAAAAGTCGTGCCCTAGCTATACTATAAGTGTCCTTCTACCCACTGTGAACAAATACACCCATAACTTTTGTCAGCATATTGTAATATCAAATAATGTAATAACTTGGAGACTAAGAGATGTATTTTTTCCAGCGGACACTACACTTTAAAATTTGGTCTTGTTAAAGCAGCCATAGCTCAAATGGGGCATAAAACCAGCCGTTCCGTGACCACTGGGAATGGACTGTATAGGCGATGTCATTAGTGCTGCAGGAGGCTGGTACAGCTGTCTACAGGCAGTGATGGGAAGAATACTTTGAAAATGTATTTAGTTATAGAATACTGAATACCTGCATTAAAATGTATTTTGTAACATATTCTGATATATGTTCCAATCAGAGTACTGTATTCTGATTACTGGATACTTTTAAATTGAGTTGCATTAAATCATAGTGGACAAAAATAACATTATTTTTGCAATTATGCATTCATTTGTGGCTAATTATAGGCAAAATAGCGTGTGTCTTTTTTCTTAAGAGTACCATGATGAAGTACCGTCATGTATTCCTTTTGAAGTAGGAAAGTAACTGTAATCAGAATACCACCAACAGAAAAGGTATCAGTACAAAAATACAGGTACTCAAAATGAATATTCTGAATACGTGTTTTCGGTCCATGTGTTCAGTTAGCCTCCAACACTGTCCACGGGAGGCCGTGAAGGGGGAGCACCTCTGGGATCTGCACCACGGACGAGCCGGTGATGGGACGATGATCCTGATCAGGGCCAAACGCTGGCGTCTGCACCCGGCTCGTAAAAGTAGAGACAGGAATAAAAACTAATGGTGTGTCGTTGCCAGTCGGGGCGGGGGGGCGTGCGCAACAGAGCAGCCGTTTCTCATTATTCCCAGGGAGGGCAGCTCGCGAACAGTCGGGTGTGCTGTAAATTAGGCATTCATCACTCGACTTGAGCATAAATTGTGGGGCTGGCTCCAGTAGACAGAGGAGACGCCGTGCACCTCCCTCTCCATGCGCCGCGGTGTCCGACAGAATTTACTGAATTGATGGTGATGGTGATTCTTCAAAATAAACTGTAGAGCTGCCAGTCTTTTCAATAGTCAGGATGATTTTATGACTCGCACTATTAACTTTTGTTTCATGCCTCTAAGAGAGTATTGCGTCATTTATGGATCACTGGGTCTCCATATATCACCACTGTGCCATTACAAAGATGGGCCTAGATCAGACTGTTACACGTAGACTACACTGACTAACACTTTTGATTTATTTCTTTAATTTATTGCTGAATATGGAGATTGAAGAGCCACAATAAAATGTCTGTCAGTGTCTCTGCATGATGCACCATTTTCTTTTGTTTTATAGATGCTCTAGGCCTATAAGTTTCTTGGTGGAGGACAGTCCATATTGTTTCTATTGTTCCATGATATGGAATTCAATTACAGGTGTTACATGTAACATATAATATGTTACTACACATTATTACAAATCTGATCTGTAACTTGGTTACTGTCATTGGTTGTATCCATGGAGAACGTTTAGTTTAATGCAGTAATGTGGAACCATCCAGGCTAAGCGTCTTGCTCAAAGACACACAGACACACACAACTGTCATTGTGTCTATAAGTTTGAATGTTGTTTGTTACATGATTTGGGTGAAGAGTGTTTGCAAAGGCGAGGAAATACAAGAGATGATAAATCAATTAAAAGGCAAATATCACTTTACTATATTACACAAAATAGACTATGAGCTTTAGGCCATGTTAGAATGTTGTTACCTTCTCAAAAACTTACCTGGAGTTTTGTTTGATTAATCCTTTATTATTAGTCTGTCTACATCTCCAAAGGTCAAAATGCTCTTTTCCACCTTGTGATGTCATGTATTAGTTTCTAGTGGTAGTTTTTAAGTTAACAG